CATGGAGGCAGAGCTTCTTCCTCTGGACTCCCAGACTGATCTGATGACAGCACAATTCTTTGCCTAGGTCATCCAGGTTATCCAGAACACATATCTCAGACGGTGCAGAGACGTCTAGAGTTAGATTATGACCTCTTTGCAAATAACTCTAAGTACCCCATATAGCCAGAGCATTGATACACTCAGGTGAGAGAGAACTTACTAGCTGAGTGCACGATGTCACCCTAAACCCTGGCTATGTTTAACCATGAGCACAGACCTTGATCGAGTTGGCATGTTAAGAAAAGAGAGTCAATACCCTTTGTCTAGACTGAAGCCAGAGGCAGAGAGGATCACTACAGCCATCATTTCTGTGAGTTGTAGAACATACTCGCACTGCAGATGCTACCTTTGCAGAATGTCCATGCAGGTAACAGACAGTGCCTCATTGCTCCACGCAGAGGCTATTGCGATTATAGTGGCCCTTGCCCACGCATCCTAGAGGAAAGGATACCATCTTATGTACAGACTCCAGAGCAACTGACATCTGCAGGATGGCATGGGTACTGACAACTACTTCCTGACTGCTGTGCTTATCATAACATAGAGGATTCTTGCTCAGGTCTAAGGCCAGATTGGTATCAGAGGGGATGAGCTTGTTGACTAGCCGAGATTGGCAGGTAATTTAGCCATTCTGAAATCTTTTAAGGTGTAGAGCAAAAGCCACAGGATAAGCTGCAGCAACATAAAATGAGAAAGCGAGAACCTCCCCCTTAGCCAAATGGTACAGAGAGTACGAGCCACTGGCGAAGTCATTTTTCTCAGAATTAGACTTGGTTACCAGTATGTATGGCAGATTATTGACGCTGACCGGTGTTGTAAACAGAGGCGAGCCGGTTGCCACCCTAATACGCAATCTACAGGGGTATGAGTATACACATTCCTAAGATAAGTCCGTCAGCTACAGCTGACAATCCCGTGACATTATGTTTCTTGCTTATGCTGTGGAGGCCAGAGTGCCTGTTGGCAAGCAGGCAAGCCTTCGCAAATCTCACTGAACTGAACTGAATTTACATTCCACACTTGATTACATTACCGTCAACAATGTGTAGTGTGCATTGGGTTGACCCTAATATTGGAGGACAGCATGGGAAATCTGTATATGCAATGTGCCCTCAGCTCACTCGACTCTGTAGGTGCGAACCGGCAACTCTAATGCCGCCTTAGCCATGCCTCCTTGGTTGTCAGGGAGTCCCCCTACTTAGTTATGACGGTGTGAAGAGTTTGAGGATTTTCTTTTCTGTACTTCCATATTCCACCACCAGGTGTCTCCTCGGATTTGCTTGATAATACTTAAAGTATCTGTTTCACAATCTTTTGCTTTATATACAAATATATAAAATGTATATGAATGTGTGGTAACATATATAGTGTTTGGGTATTCCATTTAACTTTTTTCTGTATACAGATATGATCTTGCATACCATGGCTTGGTGGAGAGTTATATTGTTTGTCTTGCTGTCTGCAACGAGATGGTCGCCGATGCTCTCTCAAAATCATTCAGGTAAATAATTCTTCCTTAAAGTAAACAGAAAATCAAAATGAAGTTAGTGAAATTATCACTCATGAATTGGTAATTACTTTTCATTCATTCACAGAGTGGATCGTATACGAGTTGTCATCAGGTGGCGGTACAGGAGATGCCGTTACTCGCTTGTCTGTGCTGTTAGAGGAATCCCTGTCCCCCCCTGAACATACATCTGTTCTCTCAACCTTCACCCTGTGTTTGTGGTTTAGGGTCACCACCTTTCTTGAAATGTCTACTCTCTTAAGTTATGCTTCGTCAGAAGCAGAAGATGACGTCATTCAGCTCCGTAAGTTCACTCCCTTTACATATTAAGGTTATCCATATAGTATATATGGTTATCAATATGTTAAATGCCTGATTTTCATAAGCAAAACTTTACAACCAAGGAAAACCTGCATAATATCACTTATCATTCAACTACTGTAAATTATTGTCAAATATTACTTTTTACAAGAATGAATATTAAAAATAAATCGGGAAATCCAACACTCCAAATGGGTCATATAAAGGATTAAGATATTTATCAAAAGTTGTTACTCTCTTTTCCCTAATATGCCTAGGTACCTTCCATGACAAACTGGAATTGAGATATATGATGGGAAAGGCCACAGGTCTCGATGCCCTCATCCCCCCGCTGAGGTGGCACCCGACGTGCCTGGTGGCTGAGCCCGATCGCCTCATCATGTGGCTGGAAGGAAGGAACCTTACTGTGGATGCCCCCACCTCCCCACTGCCTCTTAGCGGCCACCTGGTCATCGGCCAGGAGCAAGACGAGTGGGACGGGGGGTACACTCCCTCGCAGTCCTTCTTGGGTCAGGTCACAGGACTCACCATATGGGACGTCGCTCTCGAGGCCACACAGATGCTTACTTGGTCTCACTGTGAGCCAACCAACACGAGTGCCTTCATATCGTGGCCTCAATTCAACTGGACTCTGCATAACCAAACAGGCCATTTAAAGGTGTCACCTTCTACGCCCTGTAGTAAGCATGACGACCTGCTTCTGTTTACCCTCTCCTTGACGTGGTCAGAAGCCCTGGCCTACCTGAGTCGCATAGGCCTGGAGATGGCTGTTCCTCACTCCCTTGAGGAAATTTCCTATTTATCTCAAATTATTCAAGAGAACCACCAGTCATGTAGTGTGGAAGTTAGAACTGGTTACTTAGCCTGGATAGGTGTTCGATTAAATACAAGCAGTGGAAAACTAGAAGATTCAAGAGGACAAGAATACAAAATGACAACTACCTCAAGGACAGAAGACACTTCAAATGATCGAAATTATGCTGCCTTATTTGCTTCTGGTAAGCTACAACTCCGAACGGAAATGGCTGCATGTTTTACCGCAAGACAACCGGAACCTGTCGTTTTCTACCTTCAGGCACTCCACGAACACGAAAATATACAACTTGCTCACATTCTCAAGGCTGGTTTTGTACTTAGCTCAGAAGCTGGGAAAGGCTCCCACTTCCATGGCTTGGGGCCTTACAATATCAGTCAAGAAGAAAATTCACCCCTTTGGTGTTTGCATGAGACCAATCCAGCTGTAGGTACAAGCAGCAAGGTAGTCTGCACATTGTCGCATCTCCTCCCACTTGGCACAAGGATGTGGACCTTCCACAGCAACACGTATCAGAGCAAAGAGAATGGGACAATTGAACTGATCCTCACGCGCTGCACAGACGACCAATACACGTGTCCAGACGCTACCTGCATCGACCTCAGCAGCAGGTGTGACTTCAAATATGACTGCCAGGATAGATCTGATGAGAGTAGGTGTGCCACTGCCTTGCTGGATAAGGATTACCAAAAGGACATTCCACCTAACATACCCCTGAACCTTATAGCTTATATTTCCTTTGAAGATATCCGAGAATTCAGCCTCCTGAGCAAGACATTTGAGGTGTACATGAACTTAACTTTGCTTTGGTTCGACCCTTGGCTTACTTTCCTTCACCTCGCCTCAACGGAAGAGAGGGTTGTGGTTACTGCAGAAGGTCAGGAGGTCAGTGATGATATATTGCAGTTTTTCCCCCATTGTTTCTAATTGTAGTTCAGACATCCACAAGGAACACACCCTTATGACAAAGATACATGTTCTTAATTCTCCTAAAACAAAAATCATAACTAAACCCATTATGTATCTAAACTGAATGTGGCTGTGATAGCTGAAAGCCATGGCTCAGCAATCGCATATCAGGTATCTTGCATTGATGTATGGGGTTGATAGCAACTTTCCAAAGAGGGTATAAGCTCCATGTGAAGTCTACCAAAAGTCAGTTGTATTCAGATTATGGCTGAAATAATTTTAAACTATTTTATGGCATACATTATTTATGCATTGAATTTTACCATTCATACTCCTCTTAAAAGTGTTAGATAACTTTAACTGGATCAATAAAAAATGGACAATTGTACATAGGCCTACATCGCAGCCCTCCCATGATATTTATCACAGTAGGTAGGTGAAACTGGTATCACTAATCACTAATCACTATTCAAAGAAAAAAATCAAATGCATAGGAAACTTTATCAACCCTTATTTCCGAGTGTTAGATTTTCCATCTTACAAATACAATTGCTTGTTGAGATGGTTGCATTTATCTTGACCCTACGGTTAACTCATTCATTTATGTACAGGCACCTGATGCAAAATTGTCTTATGTAGATGGTCTCCATTACTATAGCTGAGACTCATGTAGCATGTGACAAGATGGGCAAAATTGTAGGAGAGTGTACTTCCTTGTTTTAAAAATAGGATATTCATTATTTACAACAAGTATTGCAAACAAATCAACTATAGGTATGGCAGAGATCACTGGCTTAGGTAGTCTAAGAACAAAAGGAATTCTCTTAATATAATTGGACTTCAAGAGTGTTGATACTACTTAACCCAGTGCCGCCGGGGAAAAGGAATAAAAAATGGGGAAAATGCTGTGCTCATTTATATTCTTTTGTGAAATGTCTCTGCACATAGATGGCTCTGCTAGTGCTTAGCCATAAAGGAATCAATTAGTAGACCTTGTGACTTTACCAGATTTGAATTGGAGGGAAAATGTATTTTTTTCTAGCGCTATGAATATCGATGGTGTTATTTTTATCATATAACATTATAGTAATTATAATGTTTAAACATGAGTAACAGCATAATAAGATACTACAAATTAAAATGAATGCAATATTGTGATTTCAATGCCAGCATCGCTGAAATGACGAGCTGGTGTCCTTCCTATAAGACTTTCCCAGCAATTGCCACACCACCATCCAGATTACATTTTTTTAAATGTATAATTTGCATATTACTCATTTCTCAGATCTGGGAGCCACATCTGGAGGTCCTCAAAAGCGTGAAGAGTATAAGCATTGTGAACCGCTTGTATGTGAAACGCAAGAGTGAAGGCAGCACATCCCTGTTAGGTAAGGTCTAAACAGAAAC